AAGAGCAATACCTACATCACAATTGTCCATGGTTTCAAATTAGCACACAGTCTGATATCAATTAATAGATGTCAACTTGTCCATCAATATCGAATGGTCCAACCAATACACATACTTATATCTACATTATTATATATCTAAACTAGAAAAAGTGTCCGATATCACTATAATCTACAATGTGAATTTCAGTTCACTCGCTGAGCAAATAAACGAGTTCAGTAATTGGTCTAACTAACGTAGTAGTTCTGTCCGTTCTGGCGACGCGGAGTTCGACCTTGCGAACAAGCCCATCTGTGCCGGGGAAGGTGCTAATCACCGTAGCCATAGGCCATTGACGTCTGGCCTCGGAGGCTTCCTTGAGAAGAACGACGTCGCCTTCTTTGAGATTGTCACATTCATGTTTCCATTTGGTTCGCGTTTGTAGAGTACTAAGATAGTCTTTGCTCCATCGCGACCAGAAGGCATTGGCTAGGACTTGAACCTGAGCCCACTGATTACGGTACATGTCCTTAATGTCAAGGTTTCCAAACGGTTCGTGACAAACGTAGTTCTTTTGTGTCAACAACGTCGAAGGACTGAGGATAGTAGGAAAGTCTGGGTCGGATGAGACCTGGACGATAGGTCTACTGTTGATGATAGCGCTGATCTCATGCATAAGCGTGGATAAGACGTCGTGAGTGAGGGCTTTGTTTTTCCGTTCAAGAAGAATAGCGTCGAGAATGCGTCGCGAGAGCCCAATCATACGCTCCCACACTCCGCCCATGTGCGACGAATGGGGAGAGTTGAAGTTCCACGCAATACCGGTATCGAAGAAGTACCTCTTCACTTGTTTGTCCTCAACGTTGACAGCGTTGATGTGAAGGGGATCTGTGGCGCCTACAAAGTTGGTGCCTCTGTCGGAGTAGAACTCCTTGACCTCACCGCGTATGGACGTGAATCTACGAAGGGCATTGATAAACGAGCTCGAACTCATGTCCTCCAGAACCTCTATGTGGACTGCGCGAATAGCCAAACACGTAAACAACACAGACCATCGTTTCGAGTTTGCGACACCTCCACGCGTTTTCCTAGACACAATTTGCCATGGTCCAAAGACGACTACTCCAACATGAGTAAACGCGGCTGACGCAGTTATCCGAGCGGTGGGCAGATTTGCCATCTTCTGGGTTTGAAGGTGAGTTCTCAACTTACGACAACAAATGCAAGCGTGAATTATAGATGACACAGCTCTCTTACCACCTACAAGCCAGAACCCGGCTGCGCGAACGGATCCCTCAGTATAGTGACGTCCTTGGTGCTTGACCATCGAATGGTAATGTCGGATAAGAAGAGTCCCTACGTGACTTTTTCCGGGAATGATGATCGGATGCAGAGGAATTGAACTTGACGTGTCTTCGAGCCTGTTCATTCTACCTCCCACCCGAAGGAGGTCGTTGTCATCCAAAAAAGGTGTCAGGTTGATAATCGAACTGTTAGCCGGGAGTTTCTTGTTGTGACGGATACATTCAATCTCTTTGCAGAAAAGTTCCCTCTGCATCTGCGATATCACAAAGTCGGAAGCTTCTTCCATACATGTCCTTTCCTTAGGGCGATCACAAGAATGCCATCCTTTACACGTGCCTTCGGGGGTATGGAACGACTTCGCGATGTGAGTGAGGTACGATATCGCACGAACAAGAGAGCTCCATTCAGAATAATTCTCAAATTTCTCGACGAGGAGCGAGTTTCCGGTAGTTGTGTTCACTACGGCACTTTTCGCGGAGTGTACCACCGGTCGAATCTCTTTGTCTTTATGGGGTTCTACGAGTGCAAACTCAACAGAAGGCGGTGAAACGCTGGAGTTTTTGAGTAGAAAGACTGGTCCATTTAGCCAAGCACTGTTCACAATTTTAGACGCGCGTATGGAACGTGACCCTTCGTCGGCGGGGTTATTCTCGGTGCCTACGTGCGTCCACTGTATCGGCTTTGTAGTACTTCTAATCTGTTGAACTCTGTTTCCAACGTACACATGAAACCTTCTGGAAGTGTTATGAATGTAACCTAATACGATCCGACTGTCTGTATACAGTTTGATGTTGTCGATTTCTGTTTTAAGACTGGTTAAAACGGTTTCCAGGATCTGACTACCTAACACAGCCGCGCATAGTTCCAAGCGTGGGATTGTGTGTCCCCCTGACGGAGCGACCTTTGCCTTTCCAAGAACAAACGACAAGGAGACATGTCCTTCCGCGTCGATAGTACGGAGATATACGACGGATGCAATGGCGTCGTTGGAGGCATCGGAGAACACATGTAGTTCTTTGCGGCTTTTGTCTGCTAGACCTCCGGCGTACGAACGAGAAACGTTAAGCGTTTCCAACTCCTTAAGAGACAATTTCCACTGATCCCATTCGTTTTTCAGTTCTAAGGGTAAGGGATCGTCCCATTCGAGGTTTAGGTTCATGAGTTTTCGGAAGAACAGTTTCCCTCTGATTATAACGGGTGCCAGTAATCCAAGAGGGTCGTAGAGGCTTCCGATCGTAGACAAGACGCCTCTTTTCGTAAATGGCTTTTCTTCAGAGGACACTCTACACGTAAACATGTCTGAGGCGACATCCCAGAATATTCCGAGGCTACGTTGTAACGGAGGAACATCCGCACCAAGAGTAAGGTCCTTGAGGTTTTCAGCGAGATCGTCCTCCGGAAAGGATTGCATTACCTCTGCGCTGTTCGACGATATTTTTTGTAATCGTAGGTTGCCTCCTTCCATCATGGCAGCTTGTGTTCTTTTGAGAGTGTCGATAGCTGTTTCTGCGTTGGGTACAGACAACAACCCGTCGTCGACGTAGAAATCGTCCTGAACGAAATTACACACGTCTTCACCGTATACTTCCTTAACAGACGAGACTGCGATACGCATTCCAAATGTCGCGATCGCTGGCGACGGTGAGTTCCCGAAAGTATGCACGCGCATACGATACTCCACAAGGGCGAGTTCTGGGTCATTGTTTCTATGCCAGAGAAAGCTAAGGAAGTCGCGATCTTTCTCCTGCACGTAAAAACAATGAAACATCTGTTGTACGTCGGCCATACACGCGATCGCTTCTTTCCGAAATCTGAGTAGTATGCCTAACAATCTGTTGGACAGATCTGGTCCTTTCAGAAGAACGTCATTTAAGGAAACACCTTCACACTTCGCGGATGAGTCGAATACGACCCTAATCTTTTCTGGCTTCTTGGGGTGGTAAACCCCAAAGATAGGGAGGGACCAACGTTCTTCAGCGTCCTATATGGCAGGTGCTAATTCGGCGTGGCCTTTGTCGAGCATTTCCGCCATAAACGCGACAAAGTGTTCTCGTTTCGTGGGGTTCCTTTTGAGGTTGACGGTTAACGAATGCGCTCGCTTCATTGCTCCGGCGCGACTATCTGGGAGTCGGGGTCGGTCGTCTCGTATGGGAAGAGGTGCTTCCCAGTATCCATCGGCGTTCTTCTTCATTGTTCCTTCCATCATATCTAGGAAAGTTAGATCGTCGACAGATAGTCCTGGAACGTCATCGTTGCTAGTGCGCTTGAAGAGCGTGTCGTCGGACGAAAGTTGTTCGTCGGCGTGAAAATGAGTAGTACATGCATCGAATAGAGTAGGGCGTCCGGTGTTTAGAATCTTTGTTCTGTTAACGTTCACAGTTTCGGTTTTGCACACACTACTACTACATATCTCTCCAACAATGACCCAGCCGAGCCCAAGTCGTTGGGCGATCGGGCAGCCCCTGGGTCCAAGTCGCTGGTCCAATATTCTGTGCGCGTCGATGAGATCCCTTCCAATCAACATCAATATAGGAGCGCTTTCGTCCAGCGGGGGAATATCATTAACGAGGTCCTGTAGATGACTGTAGTGCATAGCAATTTCCGGTGTAGGGATATCTTCGCGACCGTTGGGTATTTCGTTGCATTCGATAAGTTTGGGAATATCCAACGAAACTTGACCGTCGATAGATTCTGCGACGTAGCCGAACGCTCTCCTGCCAGATGCGGAGAAGACTCCTGCGCATGACGATAACATGTATTCTGATTCCGGTCCATATTCCTCAAAAAGGTCAAAGAAATCACTGTTGGCGAGCGAGCGGTTACTTTGGTCATCGACGATAGCATACACACGTCGGGCGTGCTCAGGGTTCGATTTCGGGTAAACCCTGAGTAACAAGATTTTCGCGCAAGACTTTCCAGCGAACTCGTTGCAGTTAAGAGTAGTACAGATCGTTTTCACATTTCCGATGTCCACAGATTTTGGAGTATTTTCCTTCATGACTTCTGGTGGATTTTCGTGCAATGCTGTGCAATGCTTCACGCTTTGACATTTTTTACAGGTAACGGCTGACCTACAGTTTTTAGCGATATGTCTCTTCATCTCACTGCATTTAAAACACGCACCTTTGTCTTTCATCATTTGTTTCCTTTCGCTAATAGGCATTTTCAGAAATGCGTAACAGTCGTTCAATGTGTGAGCGGTGTTGTGTATGGGACAAGTGACGTCGTTAGTTGGTAGCCTGTCCGTAGATTCCACATCAGTTCTATACGCACTTACCAAGCGAGCCTTTCCGGCGGGTTTTCTTTCTGTGTCCTTGTCGGAAGCACTTGTAGTCCTACCGGTTGTTTTTGCGGAGTAATCGAAACTGGGATCATTAGCTTTCGATGCGTAATCGCATACGAAATTCACAAACACGGCGAATGGTGGAAACAAAACCCTGTGGGACTTTTTGTATCTGTCGGCAGCGTCTACTGTGATCGATTCTGTGAAATAAAGAACAATAAAGAACTTTTGTACCCAGATGTTATTTTTGATTGCTAAGTCTTCAGTACAGTAAAAACCTAGACCATCACACAGGGGGACCCGATCAGAACAGCACCATGATTCCATCACGCGTGTGTAAGAAGACAGAAGGAGGTAAGGTTTTCTATGAATTGGTAACACGACAATCTTTATCACTATTCCTCTCCTATTACACATGTATTCTACGTTTTTATATGCGTAACACCTCAGAGTTTTCATTCTTATGACATGTTATTGTTTAGAGAATGCTTAGCCTTCTTTCATTGAGAGATAATAACAAAACGTAATTTTTGGCATTCTTTCATTGCGAGAGGATAACAAAAAGTGCTTCTTCTATTTATTCCCGGAAAAATCCCGACATATCTAAACAAAGAACCAACATGGACATACGGTACGGAATTATGGATTCTGGATGTTGATTGATGGGTCATAGTAATATATAAATGTATATATAACAGACCGATGCACTCCCATGCTTTGACTTAAACGGACGAGATGGTCATATGATACAGATTGATGTTCAATCAAAATGTTCAAATCGGACGACTCTAAATTTCTTTATATTTCTAGTGATTATTAAATGTTTTGTTCACGACATAACGCTTCTGGCCGCGTTGGCCGAGTGGCAAAAACTGAGTGAACGTCCACGATCGCTATCCCTCCTCAACTGGATCGCGGCTGAAGACATAGGTGACTCAGTAGCTGTAGGTACTTGCCAATTGGGAAACGTTGACACTTTCCGTAAACAAAAAAAACCGGAAAGTGCCGACAGTTCCCGATTGGGTACAGGCTACAGGTAAGAATATTTTCCTCCAGGCAGTACAGGGTAAGTCTTCATAAAACCGTTCTCATGCACACGCCTAGATTCCTAGCTCAAACCAACTTTCATAAATTATGTCAAACGATCAAAAAGTCCAATGTAAACATTGTAAACCGTTGTCGGCTTTAAGTCTGTTCAATGTTATTTTTCCAAATCATTGACAAAATAAGATTTTTAGCTCACCTGGCCCGAAGGGCCATGTGAGCTTATGACGTACTGCGCCGTCGCTGGGACTCGAACCCGCAACGCTTGGCTCTCCAGCCCGATGCTTTACCGCTAAAGAAGAATTGGAGGACCTAGGGTCATGATATTTTGCCAGTAGGTACCTGGCATGGAGTGCTACAAAACTCCCTCACTAAAATGACCTTAATCTACTTTCAAGGTTACATGGGTCAAATATGTTTAAACTTCAAACAGCAATATCCTAAGAACCATTTGAACTAGAGTCATGATACTTGGATATGTTATGTAGATCAACAGTGCGAATCTTTTTTCAATTACAGTCGGGGGTCAAAGGTCAACATTGGTTAAAGGCTTTAACAAACTTCTTTACAAGTTCCATAGGGCCCAAGGCCATGCTATTTTGCCAGTAGATACCTGGGATGAAGTGCTATAAAATTCCCTCATTAAAATGACCTTGACCTGTTTTCAAGGTCACAGGGGTAAAATATGTTAGAAACTTCAAACAGCAAAATCCTAAGAACCATTTGGACTAGAGTCATGATACTTGGGTATGTTATGTAGACCAGCTGTGTGAAATGTTTTCTTTATTACAGTAATGAGGTCAAAGGTCAACTTTAAGTGCAAGTCGGGAGTCAAATGTCAACGTGGGTTAAAAGCTTTAAAATTAAAATTTCCAATTTCAAACAATAATATCTTAAGAACCGTTTAAGAGATGTTAAAATGTCTTGTGTTCTAGTTACCAAATTTGGTCTTAAGTTACCTATATGTCACTTTCATGTAACAAAAGAAACAGGTGAGCGATACTGGCCATCTGGGCCTCTTGATTAAAATAAAGTTATAACGAGAACAAAACATTCGGCTTGAACACAATATCGATGCTTGAGCATGAGAACGCTTTCATGATTACGGGCTCTGGCCATCCTTAAATGACCCAAGCTGTTAACAGGACGTAAAACACGAACAAACCAAACCAAGCCATTCCGCTCGTTGCTTTGTCCTTTCCTTTCGATCTGTTGTTCGCTCCCTTCTTGATGCTCGTTGAATTGTTGTGAATACGACATACATTTTTTACATGAGGTAACTTCTTTAATAACCTTGAAACTTCTTCTTCTTTATTTTACGGGGGCTCCATCAATGTTGATGTTTATGCCCTCGGAGTCCTATTGCAGAGGCGTGAAAAAGAGGGTTATTTACAGTGATTAGTTGTTTTTTGGTGTTTTTTTGTGCAAGGTACAGATAAAAGATAAAAGCTGGCGTATGTTTTAGCGTGTGATGAGGGCTTCAAGGGCTGCATAAGGTAAGTGTGCCTTGAAGTCATCTAATGTTGTGCATTGTACTGCTGCTATGGGAAGGAGATTCCGTTGTGTTATTGTGTGTGGAAAGAATGAATATTTGTAGGTGTCCTTTGTAGCAGATATGTATGCGTGAGGGTGTGCATGTCTTGTTCGAGGGTCTACGGGTGTGAGTATATGTGTTGGGTTTATAGCTACGATTTAGTGTACAATTTTGTGAAAAAGGACAATTCTTGTGTGACAGCGCCGTGTTTGTAGTGTTGGCCATTGTAGTGAGTTGATCATATCTTTTACGGAACTAGTGTTGTGGAATCTGTTGTTTCCGTAGCGTGCTGCTCTTCGTTGTTTTTTCTATTTGTTTGATTTGGTTTGTGTTGTGTGGATCCCAAATGAAACTCGTAGAAAAACATTTTGGAGGGAATTCGATGGCTTCAGGACAAACATCATGATTTAAGTCCGTATTTTAATTCAATATGCTTTAATAATTTAAATATGTTGTATGCATATAAAAACAAGTTACAGACTGAAATATATTTTGAGCATCTGCGATGATTTAAAAAGAGTCCTAAATCAACTTTTCACGCTTTGCTGATTTTATTCTTTATTTCTGGTCCTGAGTACATTAAGAACTATAATTTCGTCTGTTTTTTTTAAGCTTGGCGATATCAGTTGCGGTAGTTAGTACAGTCCGTACCAGGGAAAGGTACGAACTTGGTAGGATCGATAAGGTAACCCAAGTACGGGTCGTTATCCCATCGTTTTATCAACCTGTTCCTTTGTCGGGTGGTTAAACCTCTCGAATTTCGGTGCAGTACCCACGCCATTTCTGAAACAGAAAGCACTTTATATAGTTTTCCTTTTCCTTCGCTAGGACGAACATTTCATATGATTTCATAGATCATTTTATAGCGTTGACAGTGTAAATGAATTCCGGATATTAAGTCCGTCAAATTTCCGTAATTACTAGTCTGCCTTATTGGCTCTATTATTATTAGTGACTGCAAAAGCAAACGTTATGCGTGTTTTGAAATGTTGATTTGTGTATTTTTGTAGGTATTATGCAACGAGTCTACATTTACAATAATCTAATGGGTGTTCATGTAATGCTTGTAACACGTGATACGATAAATAGGGTTATCTCCCTTTGTTTGGTCAGCATTAGTATAATGAGTGATATCATTGAATAATTCTACCGAATGTTGCTGGTGGAAAAAATCCATTAGCTCGTTGAAATCATACTTCAATGCATCATTTAATTCGCTCTCTGCACCCCCGGGATCATCCTCGATATCCAGGGGTTACGGTCACTTTCGCTCTCTACACCCCTGGAATATGTCATGGCAAAATTGAAGGCTCGATGTGCGCCACCTTGTTGATTATTTCGATCCTTTGATGTACGTCAATAGAATCTCGCGGTCATGTAACGGTAACATTGACAAGCTTTGAAGTTTGGCGTCTCTCCTAAGTAATCTTCAAAGGAGAGGTATCAGCCTAGCGTTTGGTCAGGTTGTTTTTACCTGAAACCAATCAAACAGCTATCTTCGTGCCTTCAGTTTTGCCATGGTGCAGAGAGCGAAAGTGAGCGTAACTCCTGGATATCGAGGATGCCCCTGAATATGTCAGGTACAGCGTGCGCACCTGCACCGCCTTGTGGATGGGACAGGAAGGCAAGTTTGATCCTGCGATGTACATCAAACAAATCTTGTGGTCGTATAACGGTAAAATGTACTGGCTTTGAAGTCGGATGCAGCTCCTTTGTAATTTTCAAAGAAAATATATCAGCTTATAGCGATCGGTCAAGTTTTTGTTTTTACCTGAGACAAATATAAAAGCAGCGTGCCTTCAATTTTGCTATGACATATTCCAGGGTTGCAGAGAGCGAAAGTGATACATTGATTATTAAAAACAACCAGAATTCAGTCAAAACGATTTACTATCAACTACATAATTCTGCACCACAAATAAATCTCTTCATTTTGTTTGCCATTTAAAGCCGGACCTCCTGCCGATAGTAAGGAGTTTAATTGTTTTGCTTTGCTTTTTTTTATATTGCATATGTTTTAGGCTACTTTTCATTCATTATTCAATTTGCAAAGACCCTTTTTCTGGCACTTTTTTTGTGTGGTATCACGTATTCATGTCACCCTTACAATAAATAACACAATGCGTAATGGGTATATTTCATTGATGCATTAGATCATTAACTTAGTGTTTTTGCATTTTTATGTAAAATCATATTCTTACATTTGATAAGCTGTTCTCCTTGACAGAGTGTTACTCCTAGGAGTAATAAGTTAATGTTCCATAACCTGACCTTGTACCTTACACATACACACATGTCATACAAGTGGACTCTAGAGTATCAAGAATCGAGGTTATTTTAAAAGAAATATACTATTTCAGAGCGAGGCTATTTCATCATGATCTATGTACATGCACTTCAATATGTTTTTGGTATCCGAAATATTACGGTCCAAATCGAGGCTAAAATAGCGGACTTTTATTATCTGCGATATACTTATTCAAAGCGAGGTTGATTGATTGATTGATAGGTTTTACGTCCGCTTCACTACCGAGTAGTTCGTTTATCCAGCAGACGAAAAGCGAGGCTATTATAACATGAATATATAGTGTACCAGCTCAGATTGAGGTTATTATAGCAAATTTTAGGTAATCAGAAAGAACTAGCTGAAATCGAGGCTATCATAACGGGCGTATTTATTATCGGGATAGACCTTTTCAAAGCGAGGCTATTATAACACGGTTTAGCTTTAATGAGGATAATATGAATGGTTCTCAGTATCCAGAATATATGTGTTCTGTTATCATGACAAAATCTTGGTACGTACCGATTTGTGAGAGTCCAAATGCGTAGTTTTGACAGTAAAACACAACAGCCACGGTGTTGTAGAGGATGTCTAAGACGTAATATCTCCCTGGTATCAACGGTGAACCTAAAGCAAAGAAAAAAACCCATTATCTTCAGGATATATGTTACCGTACATAATTATGTTAGAAAAATGATATAAAACACACCGTATAAAGGACCTATAGTTGTCAATTATTATACTTTGTGAAGGTGAATTTGTGGTTATATGTACCTGAGTAGTAACCGAGCTCCATATAAACAATCCAAACAATGATTTGTAAACCTGTGACATAATCGTGTCTGTAGGACAAGGGTCTTGTCCACAGATTGATGCATTTATGAACCAAACGTCGAGTGTACATGGAGCTTGTGTGGGTGTATGACCCGAAATCAGGTCCCTCGTCAAAGTTGTTGACTTTCGCCAAAGATACAAACCTTCGCTGAACTGCTCTTGGGAAAGGTTCATACGCAAGTAGCGGGCACGATGCATCTTGTTTGATTCCTATCATTTCTCGTATATTTATGATAAGGCAAAATAAAACACTTGCCTACATGTTCAACAATCATAAAAACTCGCAGCTTGTGAAATGAAGACACATGTAGCGCGTAACAAAAAGGACAGTCTTAACTGTAACAAGTACTAATTGTAACAAGTACTAATTGTAATGGGGACCATTACAGAAGTCCCCCAAACCCCCGCAGTTATGTTCGCAGTGCCAAAATAGGCCTACAATAATGCACATATGAAATGTGAGCAAAAGAAGAAGAAGAAAAAGAATAAGGGGACTTAATACTTGGACTATCTATGTCACCTTGCAACATACAGGCGTATGGGAACTCAAATAGACACAAAAACACATTTCTGGACATGTAAGAATAGATATATTCGAAATAAAACTAGAGATTTGAAAATGTGTTCATGTTGATAAATTCTTTAGAGGTAAGATACAATGTATCAAACGTTATCATACAGAAAGCACACACAAAAAATAACGTTTTCTGATCAATAAATGATGACTTTATATCTTTGTCTTTTCATCTAAATAATTTAAAAGTCGCGTAGGCCGTTTGGTTAAGACGTCTTATCATTTACGATCATTAGTCCTCCACCACTGGGTCGCAGGTTCGTGGCACGTGGGGCAGTTACCAGGTACTATCCGCAGGACGATGATGTTGTTTTGGGTACTCCGGTTTCCTCCACCACCAAAATCTGGCTCGTCCTTAAATGACCATATTTGGTAATAGAAATTAAAACAAGACAAACGAAAAATCTCGATGTTGTAACATGAGTACTTTACCTAGTTCAAAAAGGGCATTGAATGCGTTCGGTGTATTTGCGACATCCTCAAAGGTGCCTTTTGCCGTCCCTCCAACTGTAGTTCTGGAATATTTTGCAAACAAAAAATCAGAAAGATAAATTATCTTAATTTGGTTTCCTAAAGAATAAACACGAAAATACTTTAATTGCATTACATGTCCTTAGAAAATCAAGGGAGACAATCGCATCTTCTGAAAAGGTCCTTTTTTAGGATACTTTGGAAGGCAACAAAATTGTCTGCAAATCTTTGAAGGTATTCAAAACCTGATAAGTAAAAAACGGCTCGGTAATTGACGACCCTTTCCCACTCCACTATGGTTGTTAGGTCACCTGAGACAAAGTCTCAAGTGACCTATTGCGATCGCCTTTTGTCCGGCGTCGTGCGTCGTGTGTCGTCCGTCCGTAAACAATTGACATTTTCGACTTCTTCTCCAAAACCCCTGAACCAATTTCAATGAAATTTTGCAGAAACCTTTCATGGCCATAGGTCAACAAAAGTTGTGAATAATATAGTCCCGAGCTCCCAGGGGCCTTGGGGGCGGGGCCAAATAGGGTAAAATTGACTAAAATTTCAAAAATCTTCCTCTTAAGATCTAGGTATAGTAGAATCAAGTACTCTTCATAGATGGAAGAGTCCTAAGGTGCTTTACCAAAATAGTGAATTGCATGACCCTAGGGTCTCACGTTTCCCGCTGGGGAGTGGGTAAACTTTACTATAGTTTATATCGGGAATCATTTTTTGGACCAACATTTGGTTAATTTCCATTGGAATTAATTCAAACCTCGTTAGCATTATCAGTATTGGATAGCGGTTTGATGATATGCACAAATCAGCCCTGACTGTCCCCCAGGGGCTGATGGTAGGGGCCAAAACGGGTTGAATTGACTGAAATTTCAAAAACCTTCTTCTCAAGACCCAGATTTGATAGAATCAAATACCCTTCATAGATGGAAGGGTCTTAAGGTGCTTTACCAAAATTGTGAATTTCATGACCCTGGGGTCTCATGTTTCCCCCTGGGGAGGGGGTAAACTTAACTATAGTTTAATTGTGAATTATGTGGTCCCAAGCCCCACAGCAGCCTGAGGGGAAGGGGCCAAAAAGAGTCAAATTGACTAAATACTCTTCATAGATGGAAGGGTCTTAAGGTGCTTTACCATAATTCAGCTGACTGACAGAACCACTATTTGTATATAGTATATATACTACCCAGATTTTTCACACTTATTTTGCATTACATGTAGTTCAAGTTACCTTTGTTACAAAATGATTTCTGTTTCATTTGGCAACATCGATAACATCAGTTTTTACATAACTCAGGTGACCGTTAAGGGCCATGGGCCTCTTGTTTTATATACAGTGACATTGCCTTAAATTCGTTTTGGCTTTCACTTTAACACAATGACGCCAGTGCACTTCCTTCGAACAGGTAGCTCAATCAGCAACAGAGACAGCAGAACAATCCGAAGTCCGGGGTTTGAACCCCGGTCTAGCCCGGTCTAGCCCGTATGAGTGTTTAACAAACAGGCCACAGTTGTTGGTTATGTTTTGTGTATTTCAACTTTATCATATTTCAGTTTATTTTTCAGACATGATGGTCATGCCGAGGTGGCATCGGGATCCTTAAACATGCTGTTGACGATAAAAACTGTAACTAAGTATTGGGGACTGATTTTCCGACATGACTATAGCTTTGATAAATCATTGCGGTAAATAAAACAAACCTTGCAGGACTTAAATGAGAATAATAAAGATGAAATAATCAAAATATTATTAAGAAAAATGTTTTAAGAGTAAAAGTTTAATGAGCCTCGGACCTTGGATTCACCTTGTTATGCTATCGCTCTAACCAATTGAGCTCTCTGTTCAATGGAAGTGTCCTAGCCCAACTGTGCTTCAGTTATATCCAAGCAGAACATTAGTGGAGGTGACTGCATTAAGGAAATATAATATAATATAATGGGAGGGATCCTTAAAATGTACGTGTTCTATTTACGAGGGCCATTCGACACGTTCTGTTACGACACAGCTCCCGCTTGAAATTAAAGAAGGGTTGTGCCTAATGGATCCCCAATTTGCTGAAAAAAGGCTAAACGTTTTAAAAGGTGGCGAACATATTTTTAAAAGTACAGATATTGCGACTCAAGTAAGCTATCTGAGTTACTTTTAGGGGATGAGTCCTGGGTAAATCACTTTGAACTCCAGAGGCGCATTAATCAGAAACAATGATTGTCGAGAAATCAAGAAAGGCCAGTGATTGCAAGACGTTTAAAAAGCGCTAAGAAAGTTTTGTATGCTATTTTTTCGTACACCTTATAAAGAAAATGATCTCTTAGAAACGATATGCCCCTAGGAGTGCTCTGGGTAGTGCTACGTCATGTATAGCGCGATTAGGAAAATGCGTTTCTGCTTAGTGGGATAGTTCGAAGGGTTGTAATAGAAAGGCCAAACTATATACATCATACATCTGATTACTGAACGTCGTATTGGTATACTTACAGTAAGTCTTTCCATATGATGGACACGCTGAGATTTCCACTCGTCGAGGAGGTGAAAGTTGACGACAAACAAACAATAGAGTTCCCTGCCTGTTGGGCTAACCAGCCATTGTTATACCATTCGGTCCAGTACCACCTCCCCGCAAACTGGTAGTAAAACATATACACTTAGACGTCATCGTTTTACTGTTTATCATATATAACGCTTCGAAAATACCCGGAAATCATTTAATACTATTTGTGTATTTTTGTATTTGCAGTCTATCAAGTGATAGACATACTAAAAATAGAGAACAAGTTTTGATGACATCACATACAAATTACTACTGTTTCCCCGACAGTTTGTCGTCTGCCAAACTTGAATAATCGTATCTATACACTGTATTCGATTTTATAGCAGATGACAAGGAAATATTCCCGACGTTGGGCTCAGAGCTTTTCAGAGTCTTTCAGAACGTCTTTTTTCAGATAGTACATGAAAATGAGCCTTGGTTAAAGACTTTAAGAGTTAAAGATTTAAAACACAACATTTGATTGATTAACATTAAAAGGCTAAGATTCTGTAACAAAATCCCAACCTCGGCTTACGCCTCGGTTGGGATATTACAGAATCTGATCCCTCGACTGAGATAACCAGATCTTGCTCACTTACACGTAATTGATGCACCTTTTAGTTCGAAAAAAACCTATTCAAATTATTCAATTTGACAAGTTACCCGTCTGGGGCCCCAAATGAAAATGTCCGCTACAATATCAAATCTTTATTTGAATGCTTCCGCGTAAACATGTAGTCCGTCTTTATAATGAAGACAACGTATACCACAGTGTATATTATATTATATCTTTAGATACATGACAACATCAACACAAAACAGAATATTTTTAATGCAGGTTGTCAATTTCAAGTCGTTAACGCGCAGATGAATACATTGCAGTGTAACAATTCCGCGAAATGACTTGTAAAGGTACCAGACAGGTCGCGGATCGGTCGAGATAGAAAAATCTAGCATGGGGTATGGCGTGGGATATCTCTGTCAGAAATGCAAAAAATCATAAAGTCATAGGTCTGTATGTAGTTATTGTTAAGATAACGTTAAGTCGTATGTAGCTGTTACAAAGATAACGTTAAGTCGTATGTAGCTGTTGTTAAGATAGCGTTAAGTCGTATGTAGCTGTTACAAAGATAACATTAAGTCATATGTAGCTGTTGTTAAGATAACGTTAAGTCGTATGTAGCTGTTGTTAAGATAGTGTTAAGTCGTATGTAGCTGTTACAAAGTTAACGTTAAGTCGTATGTAGCTGTTGTTAAGATAACGTTAAGTCGTATGTAGCTGTTACAAAGATAACGTTAAGTCGTATGTAGCTGTTTGTTTTTTCTTCGTAAAATAAGCGAAACCTATAATACACTTATAGAAATACCGAATCGTCGATCAAAGTGAGCTCAGAAGAGTCCGTTTCCTAGATATAGGCAATCAACAATAACAGTGACCGCTCCTTACTGGTGAGAGTTTTAATAACCGTTCATGTGGTAACCTGTCACGTGATAGGAACAGGTTTGGGTCACTGGATCATATGACACCTTGGTTCACTTGTATAAAACATCTCAAAGTTAAGGAAAATCTCAAGCAATGTATTGTCTATGGGAAATCTTAGACTTGAGGAAATCTCAAGAGTTGAGATGTTTTATACAAGTGGGCCCAGCTACACCTCCGATATATTTCTGATTTGTTTCGACGGACACGTCGACGTCTAATAGTGTTATTATTGACAGGTAATTCACAGGTAGGCTTTTTACACGTCTAAACTGTGTATAACTGTACTTGTCTCTCAGCTTGATATTGCATGAAATGTAGTTGATGCAGGCCCGGAATATTTTTCCGTAATTCAATCTTGTCTGTTTGACTTGTTCTTTCGGATAAGAACATTACTGATGTCTTTATTTGTCGATTAATAATTTTACCCATACAACATATATTGATTGGTGTCGTAGCTAACATTGTTATGCAGATAATATGTAAATATGTAAAGAGCATGTCAGATTGGGTACACGTAGTGAACAGGATATCGGATAAGTTGTGCTACTATGACGTCACAAATCACGTGATCGTACAAAGTTAAATAGATTGGGCGCAACCTAGCCTGTTATCTGAGTACCGAGAGAGACGGGTCTCGGTCACTACACGTATTATTGCATCACATGACCATAAAATACAAAATTATATAAAAATCGTGTCCAAAATCCAAGTTGATACGGCCTCATGAAATGTTTTTTTTTGAAAACTGTAAACAACGTTGCAACTAAGATGAAAACTACTTTTAAGTATTTTGTTTCCACTTACAGAAAAGTTATGGTTCCCGTACAGCTTGTTAACTACCATAATTGGACTTTGAAAAAAAGCTTTGGTTATTTCGTATATCATTCACTCTTTGAATATAATTTGGTCATCATTTCTCTATAACACCTTAAAATCATGGTGATAAAAACTTTAAAATACCGAAAACCATCTGAAACCATCTTCTAGGGGTTTAATTTGGTTGCATCGGTACTGAACGACATTACTCACCTGGGAAGCGTCAAAGTTCGTAATAGCATTGACGTCAGGACATCCAGCGTGGATAAGGGAAGCCGCCCCGATCAGAAGCAATACTTGCACCTGGAAGAACATTTCCACTAACAATGTATTGTTACTGTGTCTAAGAGTTGACTTTAAATACTAGCATAGTAGTTGCCACTGACACACAGTTTTATAAGCGACTGTTATGATATTGCGCATGCGCAGAGAACGGCTGACTTGTCATAATCCACTCCATCTAACTCGACGCTTGCGCAATAGCATAATCTACTTTTAAAACCTCCAACCACGCCACAGGCCCGCTGTAAACGGTTCTTGACAGCACTCTACATAATTAAATGTTCAGCAATGATTTTTTTATATTGAGGAAATAATGTTTTGGTGGAATATATAACGGCGATGAGAAATGTTGGGAAAATAAAACGAAATCCGAAGCGGCTCGACTGAATTATTTTTCCAACAATTTTGAATCGTGAGTTATCTATTGTTAGGAAAATGTGTACTTGTGCTTTCCTTAGTGTCATTACGTCCGTGTTATGCATGGTGATTAAGATAATCTAAATATATAAATCTGGCTGTTTTTTGCGCTTGCAAACATTTCACAACAACATTCGAGCAATCTTGAAATGAAGGCACTTGTTCCATTTTGCCTGTATGACTTGGGCATATTGGAGACCAATTATGTGTCCCTCATAATGTATTGATTTATCGCAAATATTCGAGAAATGATATGAACCAAAGTGGTTGCAACTTGCTTGCTACCTGCGCGTGACCCTCCACAAGTTTGGCGATGCTTCTGGTGAAGTTTTGACGGATAACCGCGCAATTCTCAATTTTGCAGAAAAGAAATGAACATCACTAACGTCATGTGTTATACAAGACATCTATTTTAATCAGTCACCAGCATAAATCTATCGTCATGGCTCATCAACACGTGGATCAACTATTGGCAGACATGTAAATACTATTTTAATTCACCTTCATCGAAAGTTGGTGGAACATTCTGATCAGGAGTTAAACAGATTTTTTTTTTATCTTTTCACTGGATGTTCAATAGAACCCATTTGTTTTGTTCGTCAACAAATCTTAAAATCAATACAAAAACATAATTGCACGTACCTTCAGTTGATAAAGGAAACCGATCCCACGGCTCGCTTATATACATTTGCAATATAAAGGTTTTAAAAAGAGCTCTGCACGTGCATGGTTTGTTGGAAAAGAATACATGCACATGCATACATTATCATCCAATAACAAATGATTATTAACNAGAAAAATAGTTTGTTGATGGAGCTGCATGTATAAACATTTGATGGGATTAAATTACCGCACCCAACAGATACAGGCCAAAAAGTCCATTGTATCACACAAGGCCATCCACTGATGAGTTTGGAAATTCAATCCCACCAAATAGTTTAATTTATGCATATTAAACACAGGTTAGATATATAATTAACATTTTGTAAAGTTTTATATTCTTATTTATGTAGTTGTTTCCCAATATTTTTTAATAAAATAGTATAACTGGTCTTCTGAACCCCAGCCCCCTCACTAACAATATTTAAAAATAAACAAAATAAACAATGAAGACATATAGGAAATATTAATATTAATATTCATGTACCATTTCTGGAAATCAGAAGAATTACATTGAGAAAAAAATAAAATGTAAATAAATAAATAAAGTGTAAACAAATAAAATGTAAAATTTCATTCAAAATTGAAGTTAAATGTCCTGAATCTTCTAGAACTTAAAATGTAATTGGATATAGATAGGAGAATATGTTTATTTTCATTTTCATCACATCTCTCACAACCAATTAGCATGACATCTAATGATAAATGGTTGTGAGTTTCATGGAATATATTCTGAAAAAGTAGAATACGATCTTCAGTGTATTTGATACAATCATGGAAGTAATGAGATGCTGTTTCAAATCTAGAACAACAAGAACAAGCAGAGGACTCAGTAAGATAATCTTTCTGACGGTCATTATTTAGGTTACTGGCCTCATTTCTCAACTGACAGAGAATAATATTAGTTTCCCTATTTCCTAAAAACTTAAAGACATCAGTTGTTCTTGTGTTTGAATTTGGAATAGGTGTTATTAACTTTTTGAACTGATAGGCGGAACGAATATTTTGAAGGTCTGAAGCGATATTATTTATTTCATTAAACATGGATGGAAAAAAGCTATTAGAATAGTTAACAGTTCGACAAAGAGGAGGATCAAATATTCTAACTGATCTAAGGGGATATCTTGCTAATGTGGGATCATGAAAATGTGACTCAGTGATTTCTTTCAGATAATTTGGAGTTTCATTATACATAATCTTGTACATCAGCATCATTTTATGTTGTTTTCTCCTACTTTCAAGAGGAACCCAGCCTAATTCTTTGTACAAGATATTGTGGCGGGTGCCTCTACGCAGTCCTGTAATTATTCTTGCAGCCTCTAGCTGGACTGACTCTAAGAGATTTTTTTAGATTTTGAGAACAATTATCCCAAACAACATCTGCATATTCTAGTATAGGTCTAATATATGATGTTATACAGTGTGGTTAATGACTGTCTGTCTCGTTTATGTTTCATCATACTTAAAATAATGATTATTAACCGATGATATCGTTAAATCGCAGACGTGGTAGAGATATGTCTATATGTAAGCTTAGCAAATATTTATTTCAACCAATCAATATAGAGTTGTGTTACATTATGTTTAAACATTACGACAAGGTTTTTGGGGTCATTGTCGATATCATACTCCATTACATCTGTTGGTCATTTTGCTGTTAATGGCGTGTACTTGACCACGATAAGTGTTCTGAAAACCAGCCAACTTTCTGTCTACGCCACTAATTGACTTACGACACATACTAATGGGTATTATTTAATTTTGAACACGTCTGTAAAACATTTAATTACACTGACAAGTTTCAAAATTTACCTGTTAAAAGGTCCACGAAGTTCAGTTGATGTCCTAGTGTTTTTTCCCAGTTTGCTATATATCTTAATATATAGTATGGTTATACAATAAGAAAAACGGTTAATTTAAATACCTTTGAGTACTTTCAGTCCTAATAAGGATCGGTGACAAGGTCGGGTTTGCATCCCGGTCTAGAAATACATGCTTCTTAATTTGTTAGATTTGAAACCCCACATATACTGAGGAAATCGATCTGATTTTATTATTATAATCGGGTCAGGATAATAAACTTAGTCAAATGTAAATTATTATATTAGATGAAAACATATGCCCTACATTCTCATTGGTTGAATCCTAATCACGTGGGGGTTGTTTTGTGATATTGACTCAGTTTTACTATATTAAGAAACAACAAGCTAATATTCACTTCTTGACGTCATTTCAATGCAGAACTTTCCTCCATATCATTTTCATACGTTCCATTTTTTAATGATAACAAATCCTATTTATTATCTAATATACCAATTAAGGGCTTATATTTCGGTGAATATGTGGGTGTATAGACCGGAGAAAGTGTTATTGACCTCGACTTCATTTGTCAATATCACTTTCTCAGGTTCTTTATTTAACATATTCACCTAAGCAAAAGTCCAAAATTGAAAAACAAAACATCGAGATTTTCAGTGCTTTCCAATGGTTAAGTAAAATCATTTGATCCGAGGTTCTCAAAGTTCACAATGTGTAAAATTGCACGAGACCGATGCATAAAATAACTCTTTAATTCTATATTATCATTTGTGTGTGTGAAAGGTCGATGCTTTAGTGTGTCCCTTGTTTCGTTGTCACTGCCTCGTTTCTATGTTTGAGGACGTAGCATTATTTATATTTTGACCTTTATTTTAATATAGAAGATATCTCGTTGATGAAGCGGTAGGCCCTTACCCTACCGGATAACTATCCCTTCTCTTATACCCATTGTACTTTTTCAATGGTATTAATTTGTATTTCCTTTACACGTTGTTCGTTCTAGTTTTATATATTTCAGCTCGAATTACGGTTAAGTTGACACTTCTGTATTCTCTTGCTATTTTCTATTGTATTTTTTTGTTTCCAGTGCAAAGCTGGTGCTTGGGTTTAAGACAGCTGCATCAATGTTGCATCTTGTCTCTAGTTTGCTGGCTACTCTCATCATTTAGATAGGTATATTACATCTTACATTAAGTGTTGAAAATCCAGCAATACTCGAATCCTTGCACGAGAACATCGATGCTGATATTGCTGGCTATGTACCTAGAGATACACATAGATAGTAAGGCGTCAGGATAGTCAAGTGACGCAGTGGATAGCGCACTCGTCTTTCAATAAGACAGCCGGGGTTCGATTCCGAGATCTGACGTGAAAAGGTTTACGGGTTACCTGCCAAACGACGTAGAGTTTCTATGGATAATCTGGTTCTTTACACATAAAGACCCACCGGACCAACAAGAGTGAATGATATTTGAAAAAATACTTGTTTCATATTTAATGTAAAAGTAATTAAGTGAATAGTTTAAACGGAGTAAATCTCATTTTTGCAGGTCTCAAACTTGTTCAATTCAGTAGTATTGACTGGGTTGAAGACACTTTCATTGCACAGGTAAAATGTCATGTGATTAATTTTTGTTTGGCCCCCAAACTGGTCGTATACACACTATACTATTTCTAGGACAAAGCATATGTTAAATTAATGGCTACGTAAGGAATCGGTGATGCCTCAATTTAATTGATGAGGTAAGAAAGATAACGAATGTGTTATTTTGCTTGAAGACTACAGACAAGTTTAATGTCCGCCAGCATGATCTCATACGGAATTTTGCTACTTTTGTGATACGAAGGTTGATGTTTTTAATAATGCTCATTAGTATTCCTTGCTGGTTTGTTATCATTACCGGTGTTCTCGATTTGAGGACATGATATTACATGTACTTGGATTTGACCTAAATTTTCATTACATGCGTCTTCGATAAAGAAAACGACGCTCATCCTTGAGGGACACCTGGTCTTATTCTCCTTGTGCTTTTCTACAGTGTCTATGTAAAACTTTTATGTCTTCATATTTTGCCCTGATTTTATTAATCATGAGTTTGAATTATTGTTTTGTTAACACTTCTATGAGATGTTTATTGGGCACCGATTATCAGCGTTTGTAGTCGTTATTACCACCAACCTTG